AGATTGTTTAAAAGTATGGAAGTGAGAAGACTCTAGCAACTGCAGCAGGATGTTGGTTTGCAGGGACCTTCCTCTCCTTTCCCAGAGCACAGCGTGTTCGAGCGTCCACCCACATCTTGTGGAATCCAATGTCATTGCCTGACCTTGGAAATGGGCAGTGCTGCTAAGTGCATCCATTCTTAATATGGTCCATTTGCACTTAAAAGTTTAATGTTAATGTTAAAAAATCTATGTATACATTTATAAAATTAGTATAAAATGTATTTTTAAAGAAAGTATTTTTTAATGTTTATTCATTTTTGAGAGAGAGACAGAGCGTGAGCAGGGGAGGGAGAGAGAGAGGGAGACAGAATCTGAAGCAGGCTCCAGGCTCTGAGCTGTCAGCACAGAGCCCGACGCAGGGCTCAAACCCATAAACTGTGAGATCATGACCCGAGCCGAAGTCGTACGCTTAACCAACTAAGCCACCCAGGTGCTCCTATTCAACTATTCTTTTAAAATTAAAGAAATGGTATAGAAAAGCTGTAGATGCCCTCAGAAGAATGAAGCAAATCAAAGCATGTGCATGTCTCTCTGGCTTCTAAGGATGCAGGGATTCCCAAAGGCTGCAATCTGAGTTCAGTGGTACTGCTTTGAATCTCATCGACAAAACTTTGAATCAGTAGCTAAAGACAGATGGCAATTATTTGGTTAATTTGACAACAATAAAAATGACAGACATTAAAAAAAAAAAAATCACACCCCATCCTAATCCCCTTACCAAAGAAATAAGTATTTTGACTATTCGCCAATGAAAAGCAAAATAGAGTTCTCCATGGCCATTTCTCTTGCAAAGACCAAGTGTCTAACCCTTTATAATTCTGCACACAAAAGGGCAGGACCCCAGAAAAGCAAAGGTGATGCTAAAGGACACCGATGCTCTGAAAATGAATGTTGTTGACCATGGCTCAGTGACAAAGGCTGCTATAGAAAGGGAAGAAGTTGAATGTTAGAATACTATTTCTCTGAAATAAAAAAAAAAAAAAAAAAAAT